TGGGTACGTGCTGGTCAACCAGCATTGTCATCCCTCCGTGAACTCATCCATCACACAATCTATCATTTTGGTATAAAGAAAACTGCTGAAAGGTGACAATGTCGGCAGGTTTCAGGAATGTTTTCTGTAAGGAGAGACACATGGGATGATAAGAATCGATCAAGGCCTTAATGTCATTCAAATTAGAATGAAAACCTTGACAGTTCCATTGTATCCAAGTGGCCATTTTTATTTAAGTGGAGGAGAACTGGGCATAGAACCCTTCTGCTTGCAACCACACCGTTTTTCTTTAGTTGAAGGAGGTCAGTTGGGCAGATCTCTGTTGGTGGAAGGAGATTCCAATGACTGAGGGCGTGAATGAATAATAGTTCTACATCTTGTGGCCGAAGTAGCAGTCACTGGAAGCATTGATGGGGATAGAGACAGGAGTAGACATTAACTTGTCAACCCTAGTATTCACAGAGGGCAAAAGACTTTTGACATAGTGTGAGAAAGACTGTGATGGAGGCATAGAAACTTCTGTCTACACTCCTACTGTAGCAGTGGAATGGTTTGTTTGTTTGTTCTGAAAGCTACACAAGGACTATCTGCACTACCCATACCTAATTTAGCAGTGAAAGACTAGAGGGAAGGCAGCTAGTCATCACCACCCACTGACAACTCATGGGCTACTCTTTTTCCAATGATAGTGGGATTGACCATCACACTATAATGCCCCATGGCTGTAATGGTGAGCATGTTTGGTGGGACGGGGGTTCAAACCCGCAACCTGCAACTTTCGAGTCGAGTACCCTAACCACCTGGCCATGCCAGGCCACAGTGGAATGGAGAGCAGCAGAATATGCCTCAGATGAAATAGGGGACAACAACTTCCGAGTCTCAGGGTACAAAATGTTATTTACAGTACGTAAACGAAAACTTTGTACCTCTTTTTCCTCCACCTAATTAGGGCAAAGTCATAAGTAACAGGGGTGGCAACCACCACAATTGATGCAGTAAGGGTTCAGTTGACACTTGTAGGCATCATGGTGTTTGCCACTGCAATGAGCACACATCATAGAACTCCAACAAGATGCCTTTGAATGTCTGAACCGCTGACACTGGTAACATCTGAGAGGGTTAGGAATATTAGTAGGAATATATAACCCTCCTCAACAGTTCAGATAACCTGCCTTGACAAAGGTAGGTGGGCATGGTGATGTAAATGTCAATACAAGAACATTGGTAGACAGTATAATTCCCTCTTTGTGAATGGATATATGTCGCACAGCATCAACTTTTTTGCTGGAGAAATTGGCAAGAATCTCTGACTCGGAGATGTTTCATAAATCCCTCTCAACAATCACTCCTTGGGAGGAATTCAAAGTAGCATGGGGAGTAACTTCAACAGGCATATCCCCAATGGCCTTCAATTTCAGGAGGAGTTCACTGTGAATGTAGATGTAGATGTTTCCATCAAGATGTCCCCAGAACATAGCTTCTTCACTGACTTTGGACAGCCAGCAAGCCCCTCTAATCCCTTCTGAATAAAAAAGGGAGACATTTGCCCTAAAGGTTTGTTTGACAAACAATGCAAGATGACAAAATGAGGTACAGGTGCAGAATGGTGTGAACATTGCTATTCAGTCTTCTCAACATGATTGCTTACCTATTAACTGTTTTTTTTTTATTTATTTTATTTTTTCAAGGATTGGGGGATCCATAAGAAAAGGAGAAAGATTCAGTGCCCACTGACTCCACCCAACATGGAGTCTTATAAGGGGATGCACTACAATGTCAAACAAGGACATTGTAGTAATGCTTCATGAGCACTACACCCAAACACCAGCATCAGGCACAATATCCACATCGCCTGTTGAGAATGCCCAACACTGGTACTTAGTTGACCCTAGCCCAACAGGACCAGCCGATTGACACTGGGGGAGCCACCCCAAGGTCACCCATTTATAGGAATTCAAGGGCATAGTGGTGTGTTGCAGCACCCCAGACACCACTCAACCACCAGGATCCTCTCCTCCCCTTTACGGGTTGCCATGCATGGCAAACACATGGGTAGATGTTCTGATCCCAGAGGAGGTAAACTGAGAACACAGTGTCCCCTTGCCACATACAGGAATCCACTTTGATGGGTCACTGATGTAAATAAAAAATGAGCAAAGGTCCTAACACTGAGCACAGAGGTACCCCACTTGTGACATTAATCCAGTTTGCCTGAACTCCATTTATAACAGCCCTCTGCTTTCTTCCATCCAGCCACTCTTCTATCCAATTATCCCCTACACCTATAGATAAAATTTTTTTACAAGTCATTTATGTGACACCTTGTCACATGCTTTCTGAAAATCTAGATACACTAAATCTACATCATTATCCTCATCTGTATAAACAGTAGGATGTAGATACACTGAATCTACATCCTTATCCTCATCTACATAAGCAGTAATCTTTTAAAAAAATGTCAGAAGATTTGTAAGGCAAGATTTTCCCTTAGTGAAACCATGTTGACTATCCAATTAAATTCTAAACTTTGTTAAATGACTTTGCAAAACCTTTCCCACAACTGATGTAAGAATAATAGGTGTATAATTTCTGGGACAATTTTTATTTCTTCCTTTGAAAAGAGGAGTTACATTAGCTAACTTACAATCCTTTGGCACCTGCCCACTGTTCAAGGACTTACAAAAAATAGTAGCAAATGGCTCACATATCCAATCCTTAACCTCCTTCAAAACTCTTGGGGAAATATTATCTGACTCAAGAATCTTATCATTCTTTAAACTTCCCAATTTTTTCTTAACAAACTCAGAATTAATGCAATTATCTTATTCAACCTTGTTTCCATCTATCATCTGTTAAAAATACTACTTAAAAGAAAAAGCAGTATTTAATAACCCAGGCATCTTATAATCATCAGATACAAGACTTCCTTTATCATCCCTCATGGGCCCTACCCCCATCATAACATCTTCTTTACCCTTAAAGAAATCCTTACTGTTAATTTCTACATTTTCAGCCAACCTTTTTTTTTCATACATCCTTTCTGATATTCTAACTTCCTGATTAACCAATTTTCTTGATCTTCTATAATCTTCTAAGTCTCTACCAGTCAACTTATATTTCTTAAATTTATGATGCTTTCCTTTAATTTGATCTCATATACCCTTTGTGAGCCAACCTAGTTTTTACTTGCAGCCACCCTTTTCTTCCTATAAGGAATATGTTTATCTTGAACATTTAAAAACTCATCTCTACAAATTTTCTACGTTTGATCAGTGTCTCCAAATAACTCAGCTGCCCAATTCACAACAGTTATTTTTGAAATTGGTATCTAAAATATAATTATTCTTGATCTCCATATGCAGCAAAACATTGAACCTAATAAAGCAATGATCAGTTGCACCCAGATTTCTCCCAATTTCCACCTTCTCAACAATTTCCTTATTAGATATTAACAATAATTCTAAAAATTATTGTTTCTAATAGGTATCTTGACCAGTTGGTGAAAAAAAAACCCATCTTGAACAATTTCCGAAAACCTTTCTCCCTCATGGTTTGACTCAAGCATTTCCCAATCTATATGCTAAAATTAAAATCACCCATAATTATGACTTCATTAACAACTGAAATCTTAATCTCACTGTAAAGTTTCTCACTAATTTCATCAGTATCAACTGGTGATCTGTAACATATTCCTACTAAAAGCATTTTCCCTTTATATCCCCTAATAGAAACCAAAATGGATTCAATCTCCTTGCTATTATCTTTAATATTGTCAACTTTAACATGACGTAACTCACATTTTACATATAAAGCCACCCCTCATCCTCTCTTCAGTACTCTATCCTAATTAAATAACCTATAACCCTGTATTTCAAAGAAATTTCTGTTATAAAAATCATCTGCATTTAGCCATGCTTCATTTATTCCCATTATATCAAAATCCTCCATTCCTATCAATGCCCTAAAGTCATCTATTTTATTTCTTATACTTCTAGAATTTCAACAGTAACAATTAAGCCTATTCTTACAGCCTATTCTTATTCAATAGTGGCAAACTCCAACTAGATGTCTACAGAACAATAAAGCAAAGCCTGCATGAATATATGACCACTAGTCAATCCACCATAGCAATTGTGGGTTACCTTGCTAAATAAAGTCTGTGCAATAGTCAGAATTGAAGTGGGGGTGTTATAAAGGGAACAAACCAAAGATACTATTGAATATCATTTACTAAGCAAAAAATTTGGATGAAAGATTAAGACTCCAAAATTTTTTTTCTGCATTTTCACTACAACAGAAAAGCAGTTATTGACAGTATCACATTCTGATATATTTAACAAAATGAAAAATAAAAGTATTTCCATTCATTGTAATGTTTGTTGTAACTTGGTAAAGGTGGAAAAGTTGTATATCATAAGTTGAATCTTACAATCTTTCAGCAATATATTTGTGATTTTTTATTTGTTATGATATGAAATTTACCTTCACAAACATCAGATACGAAAATATAAATTTACTACTGGAATGGAGTCATGTTCTCTGTCTTTAGTTTTGATATTTATTTATTGTCTCTTACACAAGTCCTTCATATTCTTACAATGTCCATCAGTTGTAAAATATTTACCTTTTGATATACATTCAATTTCTAACTTTCAGTCTAACTTACACATAAAAGGAGTAGAAAATATTGATTCAGTATATTGTCATAGCTAAATTGTGTGACAATTAATTTAAATAAATAATAAAAGGTAGAATTCCAATTTAAAATATTTGTTCCAACTGCAGTTACATTAAAGTATCTTATACTTCGCTGATTGCTAGCATCTTTCTAAGTAATATCTGTGTACCAAGAGTAATATTCGATAGCTAAATTTAAAGGTAATAAATTTTCATACTTAAATCAGATTTACATTTAATCAGTGTAACTCACTAAAGACTTGTTACTGGTATTGATTGATCAGGTTGTTCATTAACTGAAAATAAAGTTTTGTTTATTACAGCCTTGTGCAAGTACTGTAACAACCAGTACACAAGCTATAGGTGGCCACCTACCAACATCTCAACTTTCACTAAATCAAGTTGCAATGGTGACAGCTCAGTTAGCTTCTCAAGCAAAACACAGTTCTGTACAGGTGAGGAGTAGATGATGTAGGACTGGATTGAAAACTAAGGTATTTTAAAAAATTGTTAATGATAGTAAGAAACACTTAGAATTAAAAAAGAAACAGTAGATAAATCATAATACAAGAAATCCAGTAACTCCACCACTTTGGGAGAGCAGACCTTTCTTCAAGTGTGATCTGAACATAGGGGTGGCCTTACGCAAGTGCAAGTAGTGCAGTTGCACTGGGTCTGTGATTGAGTAAGAAAATTTTATAATTAAATGTTATTCTTTAATGGTTTGGCCCTTGGGCTTTCTTATTCTACACTGTTGATTATTGCTAACCATTACTATTGTATAAAACAATATGTTTAATACTGAAGAAACTAAACTCAAGACATTAGCAATGTTTGTTCATTGACAGAGAACTAATGCATGATCGTCACATCTTTGTTTCAGTGGTCTTTCAGATGCATTGATTTAAAGTTGCTTTATGATACTTAGTAGTCATGAGAGAAAGTGTATTTAAAATGTTTTTCACAAACTATCATTACACGTGAAACAGTTCCAATAAAACTTCAACTGTTCTGATCACTCAGAAACGGTATTATCAATGTTGTTGTTGATTTATTATAATTTAGCCAGACTTTTGTATTATGCCATTTAAAGATATATTCATTTAAATTTTGAAGTAATACAAATTATTAGGTATTTTTATTAGATTTATATAAGGGGTGACAGTTGATATTTTAGTTATGACCATAAAACAATACAATGACTACTTTGTTTTTAGCTCCATATCCTTAACTTCTTATAGCACCCTCTACCTACTTAAGGTAACCTCTGATTAGAAATGACCAGGAAGTGTAGAAATAAAAAGTATGAAAGCTAAATGATTTTTAGTAACAAGTTACTCTTTTCTGAAAACGTAAAAATGTGTTAGTAGGACTCGTAAAGGAATGCTGCAGCATTGAAAGTGATTTCTAGCACACTTGAAAATGGAAATATGGTAGTAAAGGGAAATTTGTGTAAAACAAAACATTTATGAAGGAAAAAAAGAATTCAAGAGATGATGTTATACATCATAAGTACTTAATAGCATGAAAAGGAAAATACTTGGGTTATTGTTGAAAAAGAATTTTTGTAAATGAGACTGATTTCTAATTAACAGGGCAGAAATGGGGGTGAGGGTCCAAAAGGAAAACTAATAAATAGAGATGAAGGATTAGAGAGAAATTACTGCCACACTTGCAACAGTTCTTGGTATTCTAATATAATTTTGATAAATAACATGTATATAATATATTGGAAATAAAATGTCAGTTTAATTTTACTTATAGTTTTAGTTATTTTATGTAAAATAGCACTATTATGAGATATTTGAATCAGAATATAATTTTTGCAGTATGGCTGCTATGGTATAAATTAATTTCAAATCTTAAAACTTTGTGTTTACCCCTAAATTTTGGTTTTTGAAATCTATAAATTCTAAAGCTAATAAAGCAATAGAGAATGCTACACCTAATGGTGCAAAGTGTAAGGGCTAATTCTCTTATTGGAATTAGTAAATTTTATGAAGACTGTGAAACTTTTCTAACTGAAATAGCTTTTAATAACCAGAAAATATTAAAAGCATTGTGATAGTGTAATTGAAACATCCAAAATAAATAAATGCTGGTGCACACACAAACAAGGATAAGTAATAAATTGCCTCGGACTAACAACATTGAGATTTGTAAATCAAATCACTTCACATCTGTCCAATGTAAATTTCATTGAGAACTTAATGATACAGTAAATTACTTGACACAGTTATATCTGTGGTTTCTTGAATATTTTGTGGTATCCCTTTGAAGCTATGGTTTACAACAATAGGGAGCAATAAACCAAGGTTCAAGTCCTAGTCTGGCCTAGCCAGGTAAGTGAACATTTTAAAGACTGAAAACTTGGCAGTTGTGAAAAAACATATAGATGTATGTTGTGCCAGAAAGAGCAAAAACCACATATTTACTTACAGTGAAAATATCTTCAACCAAATTAACACAGTAAAAAACTGGCACCGATGACAGTTTTAGGAATGCATGGAGCTTGGTAAATTGTATGTGGGAGGGTATGAGAAAGGGTGCCAGAACATTTTGTGAAACATTATATGCAGTTTGGTGCATTTTGATTTTGCCAAATACCTATACTGGGATGTTTGATTTGTCACTTTAGTGGTGTAATATATTAAAAGTATGCAGTCTGTAGAAATGTTATTTGTTGTTAAAAGTTGAGTACAGTTGGAAAGCAGTTAAAATTTGTTTATTTCAAGGCCGTAGACGAAGTCAGTGAGTTAGTGTTTTAAGGAGTATGGTCCCAAAATACCTTTATGGTTATGTAAGTAAGTGCTTTAAACTCCTCCAATGGAGTCTGACATATCAGGGCCATTAAAAGCAGGGCCAGAGTGAGGCCTGGTGTGATCGCACCTGCCTTAAGCAAACATTGGTTGCCACTTTAGCCTAAAATTACATTGTAAGAAATATTGAAGCATTGCTGACTACATTCCTTACTGAGAAAAGTTGTAAAACTAGTGCAGCTAATATTATGTATGAATTTCTAATGATAAAACATGTCTTCAACAAAACTGCAGATTTCCCCTATTTTCATTGGACAGCCCAGTCCTTAACCCCTTCAAATTAATGCTGGATCTGTGGAGTCTCCCACCCTTGCTTTCTGTGTGCCTGGGGAATTTTTATTGTATCTATAACATCTGGCAGTTATACTGTAGGGTAACTGATCAAAATCTATATATAAGTTCTTTAGGGCTGCTTCATAAGTATTTCTAAAATGCCAGTGTATAAGTAGTATTCATAAGTCATCACTTCCATCACAATTCAAGAAATACTAACTCCATATGGCATTCAGTGTGCTTTGAAAAGTCCAAATGGAACGTTTGACTTCATAGAGACCACTCTGATTATTGTTGAAAGTTTTTCATTAATGGCCAAAAATCAATGGAAAAAGAATTAAATACAAAAAGCAACCGTGGGCCAATATGATAACCCGAAATGAAGGAAATATGAGGTGAACTGCCTCTGATTTTCAGTAAAAATTTTAAAATAAATAAAACAACATTTGTTCCTTAAGACCTGAAGAAACCCAAAACTGTTTATTTTCAAATAAATTATAAATATTGCAGAGGAAGCATTTTTTTTTATTTTGTAATCTGGTCTCTCAAGGGTATCAATAACACAGGCTGGCAATGTTTTTATTGTCCTGAAATTTTTACCTGTTCTACGGTAATTCCTGTAAGCTGAATCTGAAAATAATATCCATTTTTCTCCATCACGTACAAATTTTTCACAAAATATCATATGTACTTTTACATAAGTGAATCATTTTCATTGAAATCAGGTCAGATTTTGTTATGCTTAAAATGCTGACAACCACTGGCTTTAAATGTCTCTAGACAAATCGCGATGTGAGAGTCTTATTGATCATTCTAGAACCCACAAGAAACACACCGCTAGTACATAAATATTTAACAGGCCGCATATTTGTGCATGCACTTTGACATTATTTTTTCTTTTCAAAATAATTTTTCGTCTCTATGGCAACATGAGTGTGTAAAATGATCCAAACATATCCTGTTATATTTGTGTTAAATTTATTGTAAAGAAACAAGGCAAAACATTACAGAATTCGTCAAAAAAGCATATTACACATATTTTGGAATAAAAGTTGGAGACCAAGATACATCATGTGCTCTACACAAAGTTTGCACCTATTGCCTAATCTTTTATATTCATCTATCTAAGGTGTCCCCAGTGGCATAGCTGTGTGTCTGCAAACATACAACACTAGAAACTGGGTTTTGATACCCGTGGTGGGCAGAGCATAGATATCCCTTTGTGTAGCTTTGTGCTTAACTACAAACAAACCATCGAAGGTTGATTAATTTAAAGTGCCGAACAACCTTCGTTTGAATTAGATTAGGTTTCACTTGATAATAAAACAACAGCATCGAATAATGTAGGATTAATTATAGTATTTTGGCACTTGTGTATAAAGTTAAAATCATAAATA